GACTGTTTAGGAACTAAACAACCTGTATAAATACGTAGATATACTACACACAGTATCGTGTGTAATGGTACCAATTACCAGTGTCCTTGCAAGATGTTAATAACTACCGATGACACATTTGGTAATTACCGGCAAGACTTAAAAAGCTGATTGATTTGTTAATGGCTTGCTTGGAAGCATGAAGTAAAATATTCATAAATGTAAGTGTTATGACACTGGTTATGTAATGCATCCATGCTACTGAAGGAAAATTAAAACCATCAATAATTTTACTACCACAACCTCACTTTGTTCTTTATATATTCGTTCGTATATATATTTTTAATCAAATACATTTACGGATCATTGATCAATGGTCATACCCATTTATAAAGTAAGTCACTTTAAAAACCTATTTTTGACAAAATCAATAGTTTTTTTGTCAAAAATTTCAAATAGCTGTTGTATTGTGTTAAAATTTTAAGGCAATCAAAAGTTTGCAAAATAGCACTGAAAATAATAACAATACAATTGTGTTTTTTATTTAATAATTTTCTTTAAAAACGAAATTATGGTAGTCAACAAATAAATCAATCCAAATATTCCTAGATAATCACGTGTTCGTAATCCAGTGTTGCCGGATCTTCTAGACAAAAATGACAGATTGATGATTTTGGTTGAACACAGTCTACATTATCGTTTAATATTGCAACACTGTGCGGTGAAAGTTGACAAAAATTTATATGGCACTTCTACAGGCGAGTCTACAGGCATACGAGAAATTAATTGTTTAATGTCACGTTAGAAGATATGCATGGGCTTTATAGGCTGTAAATTGGTCTTTTAATTAGTCTCTACTACAACCTTTTTTTTTCACAGTTATTTCACCATATTAATCAGAAGAATTTGCTAATTACTTTTTTGCCAAAACGCAAGAAAAGTTGTTCGCCAGCATGTGGCAAAATGGCTGACAAGTGTTATTTTCCAATACTTTTCTAATTTTTTTCAACGTTAAAAATCATTATGAAGAACTATTTTAGATTGAGAAAATAAAGCATTGATAGTACAGCTCAACTAAAATGACTAAAAACTATATTTTACGGCTTATGTCTTACGTCATCCAATCACATTGCTTGATAGGTCCACATTAAGCACTGTGATTGGTTGACGTAAGCCGTAAAAGATGCATTCTGCGACAGTTGTGGACCGGGCTTAAATAACCCAAACTTTCATATACAATTGAATATTTCAAAAAATCAATTTTATAGTTCTAAATGTATTTTTGTGGGAATATTTTAACTATGTTATAAAATATAAAGTTCATATTCTGTAAAATGATTTGTATCTTGTCGTAAACTTTTAAAACTTGTCAAAATTAAATTTTTGGACTTGTACTGTTCTTATTTTCACCGATTCAATTATTACTTAAACTTGTTAAGTATGTCTTCTTTTATTTAACTATCACACTCAATTAGTAGCATTTGCATTTATAATTCTATAATTGTTTAAACGTTTTTCTTACATAACATAATAAATTTAAATAAATATTCTTTTAACTTAGCGTAATGCTATTCCAGTCACATGAAACAATTCAACTCATTTATTATCGCAATAATTTAATGCAAATATTTAAGCCTAATAAACTGGAAAAGACTAAATTATACTTTATATGGTGGTTTTATAACGTTAAAAAAAGAAGTATGTCATAATTACAACAAATATTTTGTGTTTACATTTTACTAGCGTTAATTACGACGTCGTGTGCGAAGGTTCCATGCAAACTGAACTTGGTGTTGACTTTAATTGAAAAGCACACACTATCATTGGCCAAAGAAATTAACAATGCGGCGAAGGTCCGTATAGAGTTGGAACTTGCTCTTATATTAAAGTAATTAAAGAAGTATTAGCTAGGTAAACAAAGATCAAAAACATATTTTAAAGTCGTATACAGGTTTTAGTAGCAGAACTATGTTCAAAAATTTCTCTTTTCTAAGATGTTAAAGTTAATATTTTCAAGATTTTATTTAAAATCTTTACTGTTAAATAAAATGATAAATTTACTAAATGTTTACTATTGAAAAGTATAGTAAAGTTTCAAATTGTTCTTAGAATTTTTCTTGTAAATTTACAAGATAAAATTGTAACAAGTTTAGGAAAAATACATTACACTGACACTTTTAATCTTCTCAATACACATTGACACGCTATGGCTTTATGACGCTTTAGTCACGGGCTGAAGTTAGCTTTGGGTCAGTTGACAGTTGTCAAATGTCATACAATCGTTAAAATAAAGTGCCCTTCTTGTGAAATAATAATGTGGAAATTATTCTATAATAAAAATAAAAAGTATTAAATAGTTTCTCAACGCCAATACCTATTTGAAAAGTTTATATGCAAGTTTGTACAGACCTTTTGATTTTTCCGACAGTAAACTAGATTTAACTAAAAGCTTTAAAAATTTCGGGTGGAGACTCCACAAACATTCTCTTGAATTTCACTGTGAAAAACTGCTTTTATATCATTATTTAAACGGTTGTTAGACCATTTTCAAGAGATAAATTTCGATTTACACATACAAATTATTATAAACTATTCTAGACACTCATTTAATTAAATTTTGACTAAAATTAGCAAACTTGATAAATGATACACTATTAAGTATCAGGAGAGCATGGTTTTACCAAACATAAATAAAACAAATGGTAGGACAATTTTTTAAAATTTCCAAGATTTTCAAAAACTTGCAAAATCTTCAATACAAATTATTACATACAAATTATTATAAACTTTTCTAGACACTCATTTAATTAAATTCTGACTAAAATTAGCAAACTTGATAAATGATACACTATTAAGTATCAGGAGAGCATGGTTTTACCAAACATAAATAAAACAAATGGTAGGACAATTTTTTAAAATTTCCAAGATTTTCAAAAATGTTTAACCAAGTTTTAACCAAAATAACTTAATTTCATATGCTTCTGTAAATTTGATTGTAAAATTTGAGGTATTTTGTGTACATATATTGAAAAGAAAAGAAATTAAACTCAAACGGTATTTAAATTAAACAGCCCCATTTATAAATTACTTAAACTAAAATTAAAATTAATAAATTCCTTGTTTTATTCAAATTTGTGTTTAATCGACGGTCTTTTCTTTCTTTTTGGGTTCTTTTTCGCTTTTCTTTTATGAATTACATTATTTTCGATGTTTCTTTTTAAAATCTTCTTTTAATTCTCTTATCGATTTCATGCTGTTCAGAACAAACCTATTGAAATTAATTATAAAAATAATGGCCAATGCTGGGTATCAATTAGTGGTCAATGTTTGCACAATTTAATTGAGCAATATCACAAATGGGTATTAACCATCCAATAATTTGTCAATTTTTGGGAAATTTGTGTAAATGTCAATATTCTTCTAAGAAAATTATGTATTTTGGCAAATTATATGATTAAAACTCAAGATTACATAACCTATATTTATTGTTAGAATTTTGTAGATCTTTTATAGTTTTCTTGGATATTTTCTGAAATATTCAGACTATACCTAAATCGTAATTTATTGATATGCCAGCTGTATACAGCCAAAAAGCCAAATATATTTTTTTATGTGAGTTGTTGTAACTAAGATTGTGTAATAAAGTCAGTTCAGGTCCTAACTTAAGTGGTCCTATTATTTCGTAGAAATTAACTGCTATCTCATTTTGTGATTATGAATCTACAATTATTTTTTAAAATTTGAAAACTAATATCTGTAATTTTCAATATCAAGAATCAAAAAGTCATATGAAAAAACATCATTTGACATTTTGATTTCTCCTTACCAGCTCTTTATATTAGCGCTCAAAAAAAAAATATTTAAAAAATTTTAATTTTGAAAATCTGTATTTTTGCTTACCCTGTACAATAATTTATTGTCAATAAAATGGATGTTTCTCAACGCAAATCGTATTTATATAACAAGCAAAAGAAATTATGAAAAATTACTTTTTCTCAAAAAATTGAAAATAAATATTGTTACAAGTATAGTTAAGTCCATCCGTGGACTGTATACAGTTTTTATAAAAACACCTACTTTTTGTTCCCTATGAATACGGTAAAATTTAACTTTATTAAAGTGTGGGAATTTTTTTTAAATTAAACAGAAGCTTACTATAATCATTATTATAACAATTATTGTCGTTTTGGAAAGTTTTGGAAAAAATAGATTTTCAAAAATCGTAATGTCAGATGACGGTCAGGGCCATATACAAGAAACTGTTCACAGCTTGGTTCACACTTTTCAACATTTCCAACGATCTGATTACGTGTCCAGTGGACCCTGTCCACTGTTTTTCATTGTCTAAGGTCAGGACATTTTGCTCTGTTTAAAACATATTAACAAAATGATTTCATTAAATGATTATTATGTAAAATTTGACATATTTTTCTTTATAAATTTTAAACGAACCAACATATTGTTAATGTTGAAGAGAAACACAAAATTAAACTTTATAATTTTTAACCGTGAACACTGTATTTAAATAAACAACACCATTTATAAATTACTGAAACTTAACATTAAAATTAATAAATTCCTTCCATTTATTCGGATTTGCTTATTTTAACGACTGTTTTATATTTCCTTTTCGCTTTTCTTTTATGAATAACATTATTTACAATTTTACTCTCGAAATATTTTTTTATTTTTTTCAAATATTCAATGTTGCTTATTATATCAGATAATCCTTGTAATTTTTTCTCAACTTCTGCCATCATAAGTTTATCCATATTTTGCTTCATTTTTTATTAGCAATTGGTTGTTATTACATTAAATTTAACTATTATATTGTCTTAATGAGATTTGACTTTTTAAAGAATTTGACAGGTTTTTCTATACAATTCTATACAATTATTGTCCGCTAATCAAGATTTGTTTAAAATCATTGAAAAATTGTGATTAGAAAAAAGATCTTTAAAGACCATGCATGGTGTTACTTGCAATAAATATAAAACTAACATTAAACATAACAAACTTACCTTTATTTAAAGTACCTACATAGGTATGTAATTTGAGATAATAAAGCTGGAACAAAAAAGTATTATTAGAAAATGATGATTTTAAAATTGTTCGACGATACCCCATAAGTATTGTGTAGTACAGGGTGTAATATATGAAAAAATAATTTTTTATTTTAAAACTAATTAAAAATTCATAAACTGTTCTCAGTGCCGGTTTAAGTTATTTCGCCGCCCGGTTCTGGCAAAAACACAACGCCCAATGCTTTAAAATATTACTTTTTTAAAAACACTTTTAAATTTTTAAGTCTTACTTTCTCACGTCAAGTGGAAGATTAGGTTGGTTAGGCTGGTATCTAACAGTAAACTTAGTATCCTATAAAATATAAAATGAGCCTTTATAAAAAAATTATAAAAACTAATCAAAAGCACTAACTAAAAAATAAAACATTCTTTGGTTTATATAAACAATACTAATAAGAAAAACTAATCAAAAGTTATAAATAAATAAAACATTATTCTTTGGTTTAAATAAATATTGAGAAATCCTCTCTCTTAAAATGAATTAGTCAAAAATAACTAATTATAAGTCATATTTGACTAATTGTCATAGTGAAAAAGCAGTCACTAATAATTAGTCAAATTCCACTGAATTAAATAGTCAAATTAGTAAATTTAAATTTAAAAAAAGTTTTGACCCAGCCTGGGATTGAACTTTGTCTGTCACTTGACAAGTTTGTCAAGCTAACGCATTCGGCTGTCAGCCGCTCTTATAAAAATTAATTTTATTTGTCAATAAATATTGTTCATAATATTTTAAAGTTTAATATATTTTTTGTGTTGCTATTTTGAGCTAAACTTTTTGCATCTTTATTTGTTTTATGGGTCATTTAACCATGGAGAGGTATATGCATTTAATTCAAATAATACTTTGTTGTTGGCCGTAAACGATTAAAGAAATTAGTTACTTTTAACTGTCAGAAATAGTCAAATATGGTGACTAATCTTAAATTAGTCAAACTTTAACTATTTACATAGTAAAAAATAACTATTTAAAAGTGAAAACGACTATTTTATTAGTAAAAAATGCTGGTACTAATTCAAATAGTAGAATTTTGACTATTTCATTTTTAGAGAGCTAATACTAATAACTAAAAGGCTGTTTTCAAGTCTTTATAGTAGCAAATTGTTTTATAACACTTTACATTTATTTCATCTAGCAGGTCTTGATAAATGGACAGAATTGCTAAGGAGTTAAATCTTCTTGAGGAATTGTATTTCTTAGGTAGTTCTTTACCCTTTTTAGAGCAGAAAAAGATCGTTCACCACTTGCATTTGAAACCATTATAAAAAAAAAATCGCAGACAATTATTAATATTCGGAAATGAAGGTATTAATTTATTTTCGTATAAAACTTATACTAATTCCAATGGAGTTTCTATTTTTATTTCCGAAAGGGAAGTGACCAGTTTCTTGAGTTGGACACATTTTTGAGGAAAAAACTCATCCAAATCCTCCACGAAGATTTATGCTTTTAGATTAAACAAAAATTCAAATTTGTTTGTGCCAGATTTCTAGCTATCATATCGACAAATGATTTCGGATTATAGATTGTCAATTATTAAAATAAAACATATTGTTCGCATTGTTTCTTTTTTGCTTAAACTTGCCTCTGAATTATTTTCTTTAAATTGTAATTTTCTTATGATTATCCGCTTCTGAGCATAATTTTCGTTTCCTGTTAATTTCCTCGTAATGATCAAAATGATATCACGTAAAAAAATCAAAGTTCTCAACTAAAAATGACAAAAGATGAGCATTTGTGCTTAAAACCATATTTTGTTTTTGGACTGCTTTATTGGTTTCATTAACCCTTTGCAAAACGTCTATCCAAAAAGTTCAAATTATTCCGTTTCCAATAAATCAAGTTTTTCTGATGGAGAAGCTGCTTTAACTCTAACAACATTTTTCTCATTTGTATCCGTTGTATCCGCCGACGCAGTGTCGCAATAATTTTTTTTTTAAATTCTAACGATTAACTATTTGTTTTTTAAATTATGGGCGGTACGCGGTACCGCCCCAAAAATATTTACCGCCCGGTGCTATAGTCCCCAAAAAACCCCTGTTAAACCGGCACTGACTGTTCTTCAATCTTATAAATGTTTAAAATGTGTTCCTGACACTAGTGTATATATAATGTGAAATATAGGCTATAAAACCTAAAGGCTATATAATATATATAATATATTATATAATTTAAAACGGACTTCCAAACAAAATGTTTTAATGCTTACGATATTTGAGCAAAAAGTCATCCATATAATAAACGAAAATACTCGTATATATTACTCGTGAATTCCACGTATTCCGAGTATTTTTTACGAGTACATTGAATTTGGTTTGTAAGAACAAGTAATAAGTATTTCAAATGAAAAATACTCGTAATTGAAATACGAGTAAAATTACTCAGTACTGGGGTAACGTCGTTATCATGTGGTTTAACGTGTCCATATTCACGAAATTGTGCATGTATTTTACACAGTTGCCTGAAAAAGTGGTGGTAAATCTGGGTGTTTTTCATTAAAAAGATTTGCAATTTGCTCTTGTGATCTTCACATATCACCGTAACCAATCATCATTAATATTTCTATTCGCACAGTTTCTGTTAAGTGTCGCATTTTCAAGAGCAAGAACAAATTTTTGCAATTTTATTAAGAGCACTTGGATCAAATACGTAAACCAGTAAAGCATGAAATGTTTCACTAATAATAAAAATTTATACAATGCAAAAAATGTAAACAATGCAAACGGCTTTGACTAAAATACACAGGTGCTATGTAACATGTTAATCAAACAATAACTAAGCAAAAAACATGAATAACTAAATAGCGAAAGCCACAACACAACAAACTAAATCATTGGATAATAATAACAAATTCATACTTGTAATTTGTAAATATTCGCCCTTTATTGAAAACTATGTTTACTAAACCTTACTTATGGGGTATCGTCCTACTCAGAAAAATGTGCAAAATGAATTTTTGATAAAAAAATGTGGTGGGAAAAAATTTAAATTTATAATTATAAAATTTGAAAACAAAAACTAATGTTTACGAATTTATTCCATAAGTGAGAAACACACTGTATAAATTCTAGCCCAAGTAAAGATAAAGTGTCATCAAGGTGGGTATAAAAAAGGTGTTACTCGAACTCTAAATCCTTTGACTCATTTATTGATGGAAATAAATCAATATTTACTAGACGAAAAGATAAAACATATCTTATTATCTACAGTTCGTCATTAACATTGCAAAACACCAAACACTTTAAAAGTATAAAATTTTACGGGTCCATAAAAATTTCGCAGCGATTTTTATGACCGTTTGAAGCTCAAACTTTGAACTCGGTTCGAGAATCACTTTTAGACATTTCCTAAATAAATTCAAAACGTTTTTCGTTCGAATTCAATTTTCGCGAGATGCAGTCGGTACACATAAATATTTTTAATACAATTTTATGGTTTTGATTTTGCTTTGATATTTATGTAAAATTTATAACGCCATTTTTTCAAATTGGATGTTAAAGACACTTTGATTCTAATAAATGCTAAGCAGTTTGACAAAGAGTTCATTGTTTAATATCTATTAGGGGCCAGGGGTTCAAAAATCGCCTTCCCGTAATTGTGTGTAAATTTTTCTGTAACATTCAACAAAACATTTTATATTAAGTGAGTTCCACAAGAAAATATTACAACTGAATATTACAATATGTATGTCCGAAGTTATAACTTCTTGTTTACTTGAGATATATCAAAATTTGTGTTTGTATTTTTTTATTGGTTATTTAGCTATATTAAAAAAAGATACCATAATTCCTCCTAAATTCACTCTTTTTTTATTTTTATTTAATATTACCTAATTAACATTTTTGTTTTCAAAAGTATAACAATTTTCATAAGCTTATATAGAAAGACTTCATATTTGTACGCAGTTTAAAAGTCAAATTATTATATACCGCTGTACAATAATGAAAATACTTTAAAATTACATAGAAAGGGTGGTTCACTGTTAAATAAATTCAGGTAGGTACTTAACCTATAATATAAATTATGTCAATTCGTGATAAAATGGCGTTTATCAAACTTGATACATAATATATTAATAATAATTATTATCTATAGAGTATACTCTTATTGCATAATATTTTGTATTTTTTCGTAAATAATGATAAACATTATAAATTCCCTGCCTAATTCACGTTGTTGGACTTCAGTGATTGGCCGATTTCAATATTCACTGTGATTTAAACCAATCGGGTTTTAAATTGGGAGAAGGCGACTATAATAACATTTAAAATTGGTAAAAAGTGACAGATTTTGTAGGTATATTTATTTTTGAAAATCATTTAATATACACTCGAGATAATGCGCATTATTCACTCGGATGATTTGCGTCTCTCGTATGGCGACTAGCCTGCATTATCTCTCGTATAATAATATACTATTTGCCAGTTCCTGGTAAAAAGTGTGGCAATTAATTTTAGTTTAAAATTAAAAAAAAAAACTTACCTAAATAACAAGTTGTTAAAACATTAAAAAATTTTAAAAGTTGTAGTTCTTATATTTTATTCTACAAAATTATCGGTTTAAATTTTTAAAGAGTCATATAAATATAAATTTATAAATTACATTTAACTGTTTTAAATTTTAAACTGGTAATTTTTGGATTAAAAATGTATCGACCATTTAAAAGACTTTACAAATTTAAACGGATATTTTTTTACAGTAAAATATTAAAACCACAATTTTTAAAATCAATAGTTTTAAACTTAAACTTTAACAGTTTTATTTTATATTTAAAATATCTTTTGATTATTAATTGTTTTAGGTTTAAAAAAATTGAACTTTTTAAACTAGTTTGGTAGAAAATATGTTTTTATTTTAAATTTGATACTATTTTTAATTTTGGTACTAAAAATGTAACTAATCTAAATCTATCTAAATAATTTTATAAAATATTTGTTTAAGATTCACAAAATTCTGCCGAAATAAATTATTTTTATTAAAAA